GATGACCCTCGTGGAGGGACTCTAAGATCCTAGTCCTCATTGAGGTGGGAATGACAACTCTGTTTCCCCAAAGCAGACAACCCTGAGAAGTGGACAACTCGTTCCTTTTGGACCAGAAACTCTGAAACTCAGGACTAGGGCAGTGCTCAGGCCATCCAGACAAAACCCAAGAAAGGACACGTGAAAGTGTGTGATCTGTGCCTGTTTCAGCGGCGACATCCCTGGCATTCAGAGGGGACTCGGGCAAGGCTTGGATGGATAGAATGTTGACAGCTGGCGCAGGGTCAGCTTCTACTACTGGCAGGGGCAATCTACTGAGGCCATCAGCATGGCCCATTTCTTTCCCAGGCTTGTGGAGTAAGGAAAAATCATATGCAGACAGAAAAATAGACCACCTAAGCATTCTAGGGGAAATGATTTGGGGAGTTTGTTTACGTGTGGTAAACAGTCCCAGCAGAGGCTTATGGTCAGTGAAGACCGTGAAATGCCTGCCATACAAGAAATCATAGAATTTTTTAATTCCAGCAACAACAGCCAGAGCCTCCCTGTCTATCTGAGCGTAGTTGCGCTCAGCAGAAGACAGTGTTCTGGAGTAATATGCAACAGGAACCTGAGTTCCATCAGACATGAGGTGGCTCAGGACGGCTCCTACCCCGTAAGGGGAAGCATCACAAGCGATGCACACAGGAAGGGACTCATTGAAGTGTGCAAGTACACTGTTAGAAGTGAGTAAGGCCTTGACCTCATTGAAACTAGCCTCATGTGTTTGTGACCACTGCCACACTGCTTGTTTGTCTAATAGCCTGTGAAGAGGCTCAGCTACACTAGCTTTATGTGGAAGAAAAGAATTGTAGAAATTCAGGAGGCCCAGAAAGGCCTGAAGTTCGGCCTTAGACTTTGGCCTAGGTGCTTCTAAAATGGCAGTTAGTTTGGATTCAGCAGGGTGAATCCCAGCAGCATCAATTTTGAATCCCAGAAATTCAGTAGAAGGCACCCCAATTTTGCATTTGTCTTTTTTGAGCTTGAGGCCTGTTTTCCTGAATCTTAACAGAACAGCCCTTAGCCTTTCAGCTAGAATGTGTGTGGAGTCTCCTGCAATTAAGACATCATCAAAGTAGGGGCAAACCCCCGGTATGCCCCGTAGTGTGTTTTCCATTACGCTTTGGAAAATCCCAGGAGCGACATTCACTCCAAACTGTAGCCTTTTTACCTTAAAGGCTCCCCTGTGGGTCACAATAGTCTGAGCTATAGCAGCATCATCATCAACAGGCAGCTGTTGATACGCTTGAGCTAGGTCAAGCTTTGCAAAAACGCGCCCCCCCTTGAGGGAGGCCAGAATATGACTGACCACAGGAACAGGATAGGCATGTTGCTGCAATGCCTTATTAAGAGTGCATTTGTAGTCAGCACAAATGCGAATGTCCCCATTTGCCTTTAGAGGCGTGACAATGGGGGTCTCCCAAGGGCTGGAATCAACAGGTTCTAGGATTCCCTGTTGGATCAGTTTGTCTAACTCAGTGTCAATTTTACTCTTTAAAGCAAAAGGGACCCTTCTTGCTTTAATTCTAATGGGAGTGACAGTGGGGTCTAGTTTTAAGGACACAGGGGGTCCCTTGAATGTGCCCAGCTGGGGGCTGAAGACATCTGCAAATTCTTTGCAGACTTCCTGTAGGTCGAGTGTTTGTAAGCTGTTGAGCCCCGTGACGTGTATCCCCAAGGCTTCAAACCAATCGAGTCCTATGAGACTCGTTCGTTCACCCCCTACTACTAATAGGTCTAGTGGACCTTCAAAATTCTTATACTGTACGTTAAGGGTGGCCTCCCCCTTAACACACACTCTCGAATTTTGAAAGTCTGTTAACACAATGTCAGAAGGCCTTAATTTAGCCTGAGTTCCACTGCCGGAACAAATCTTCCTAAATGTATGTAAGGATATGATTGAAAGGGCAGACCCCGTGTCTAGTTCCATAGTTAATGGAACCCCTTGTAGCTTCACCTTGAGTGACAGCTTTTTCTTGATGGGCTTGTGTGTGCCTGTCCTGAAGATGCTTCTTCGCGAAGCGCAAAAACCTACCCTATTCTGGCTGGGGACCCTGGTACCTTTCAGACGCAGTTCTTCCTGAGGTTGTACCTTTCGTCGGCCCAGACACACAGCTGCAATATGTCCTTGTTTCCCGCACGCCCGGCAGATAGTGGAGCGGAACTTGCAGTCGGTTCTCCTGTGGCGACCTCCACAGCCGATGCACTTGAGGGGAGCTGCAGAGCTTCCTTTCTGATTCCCTTCCTTCGTGGGGTGGAGACGGTCGACTTCCTCGTCCGGATCCTCCTCGGAGTTCCCTTGGACGTCCTCTTGGTGCACGGATGCAACATCTGGACTGTTCCTGATCGGCCGCATGTTTTTGACGGCGCCGCCTACTGCTTCGTCTGCGGTGACCTCTCTTAAGGCATCTTGGAAGGACAAGTCTTCTTTGGTGAAAAGCCTCTGTTGTAGATCTCGATGCCTTAAGCCGCACACGAATCGGTCCCTCAGTCGTTCTTCGAGGTCCTTGAACTCGCAGTGCTTGGCGGCCTTCCTCAATGCGGCGATGTATTCTTTGGCCGACTCTCCGGATCGTTGATCCCTCTGCTCGAAGGTGTGGCGCCATGCAATGACGGACATCTTGGGCTGGAAGTGCTCCTTCAATAGCTTCTTTAGATCTGCGTAGCTGACAGACTCTAATGGGACAGGTGCTGCAAGGTTCTCTGCGATTTCGAAGGCGTCTTGACCGCAGACACAAAGCAGGGTGGCAGCCTTCAAGCTATCTTCCCTCACTTGGTTTACCTTGAGGTAATTTTCCACCCTGGCTACGTAGGACTCCCACCGCTCTGGATGTGAGACGTCGAATTCCGAAAGCCTTCCAACTTTTACCATTTTCAGGAGACGGGTCTATCAGCCAGCCTACCCCCGAATGCGCACTGGATTGGCGGGTAGCTGCCGAGTCAACGCCGTTCCGCCGCTCAGGACTCACTTGGGTAAGCTTACACCTCTTCCTTTCCAGGCGATGTAAGGCATCCCATCCTCGTCGCCAGTGTTGAGTCCTTGGCGAAAAGCAGACACGAGAAGCAGTTGTAGTTCTCAGGTTTTCTTTTATTCTGTGTTCAGCTTACAGGTGAAGGCTTCAGCAACGCCCAAAAGCTCCCAGCCTCTTATATAGGCAATTCCCGGGTCAATGTGTTACTTTTCCCGCGCCAGCACCCGCGCATGCGCACAGGCGCTGGCGACAGCCTGTCTGGTCCCGGGCAGCTTGCACCTGCCCGGGACTGCCTGCAAACGCCCCAGCCCGTTTGCAAGCCTCAGGACATAGCACACTCTCTTTTACACACACACACACGCACACACACACACACACACACACACAGATAGATAGATAGAGAGAAGCAGGGAAGCGCAATTGCCTCTCTCTGTCTCTGTCTCTCTCTGCAAAGGCAGAGGAGGCTGGGAGCCACAGGGGAAGGCTCAAAGAGCCGCATGCGGCTCCGGAGCTGCAGGTTGCCGACCTGTGGTCTAGTGATTAGAGCACCTGGCTAGAAATCAGGAGATTGTGAGTTCTAATCCTGCCTTAGGCATGAAAGCCTGCTGTGTGACTTTGGACTCTCTCCCAGTCCACAATCTGAGGGCCTAGTGACAAACTGGTCAGTGAATTTCTGTCGCAACCAATGGATCAACATCCGGTTGATCTAAAAAAAAGCAGGCCCTGTGCTTGCAGGAAAATGCTAGGAAGGGAGAAAAATTAGAAACTCTTTGGCTGCTTGCATTAACGTCATCAAGACTACATGGCTCTGGGAACAGTATTAACTCAATGATATTATAAAACATTGAGTCTGCTAGTGAAAGCAGGATAATGAGTCTGCTGCTGCTTGTTCCATTTTTCTCCCTTAGTTTGATATTTTATTTTGAGAATTTAATTTTGAGTGCTGCTGACATGCCAAAGAGACTGTGTTTGTTTTCAGCCCCAGATCCTGAATGCTTAAGCATCTGGGAAGAATAAATTGCAGCAGGTTTTCTGCAGTTTTGGAGTCCAGTATTTGTTTGCTGTTAGTCACAAGTCAGCTCCTATCTCTCTGTCTACAAGAGACTTTACCATAAAGGGGTTCCAGTTAAGGCCATGTTGCACTGTTGCTCATGTTTGAAAAATTAATGTAATGTAAGGAAATTAAGGAAGCCAAGAAAGCAAACAAATGGATCATCAAACGAATCAATACAAATTCTCACTCGAGGCATAAATGCCCAAGCTCAAATTATCTTACTTTGGATACAGTATGTGAAGTCCTAATGCTCTAGAGAAGGCTCTAATGCTAGGAGAGGTGGATGGAAAGGTGAGACAGCAGATAGCAGAAGGTGGCGATGTGTGCATTGTTGAAAATGCTGAAGGAGCAAGTTGGGGATAGATCATCATAGAGAATATAGTCATTAAAACTCAACAACAATGTGATGGCTTGTAATCATCATCATACCATGTAGAGGTTTATAGGTCATAATGGGTACCAAGATTTCATAATCTGTTGCTTAATATTAAACACCCTAAATACACAGTATGAATTGGTATTGTATTGAGAAACTATGTTGCATCAGCTTTTCTCAAAGTGGTGGTATCCATCTGTATTGGAATACAGTGCTCAGCTTGCTGGGAATGATAGGGCTTGTAGTTCAACTTGTCTGGAAGATAAATTGGTATAGTTGCCTTTTATATTAATGCAAATTGAAATTTCTTAAAGTTGATATATGTGTATATTGTTGTCTAATGGTTTTGTTAATTATTACAATTGGTGATATGTTTGACTACACCGCTTTGTTTACATAGTAGCCTAGCAAACATTTACATTCTTCCTTTACTGGATTTGGATTTCCAAAGAAATGTTGGCTTAGCAGAACTGATTATTTTAGATATAATATCAATACATCAATGACTTCTTAACCCGTGTCTGTTTATTGTCTTTTGTTATTGAAATTTTTCTTACAGACAGATCCACAATATACCACAGGAGTTGCAGAAAATATCAAAAGCTTGTAAGTATTCTTCTGCAATTTCGTTGTACTGTATGAGACTTTTCTTTGTTTGATAGAAGATGTTTCAATATTTTAAATTGTGTTATTGGTCTATTTTAGTGATTTGGACTGAATTGCCTGACTTTTTCCTGATCTGTTTAAAACCAGTTGCTAGTCTTCATCAGCCATGGAACAATCCAGTTATCTTTACCCTGCTGCTCCATTACTTTTTGTCAGAAAACATTATTAGAAAAAGTAAGATGTCTTTTTATGCTGGTTGTAAGCTATATAACAACTACTGCTAACTTAGATTTACATGAGCCTGAGGCAAACTATGATTTTTATATGGATCCCAGCATGAAAGGAAGTTGGTAGTCAGCAGTTCTGAACTCAGACTGAATTAATATTTACTGTAAGGTTCACTTCCATTCTGGTTGACATCAATATCTCCTCCCTGATGCCATATCCTCCATTAGATCAAATTCTTTCTCCTGTGTTCCTATCAGGCCTGCATTTCTGGTTTCTCCTGAGTTTCATTTATTTATTTATTTATTTATTTATGAGGCTTATATACCGCTTTAAGGGCAAGCACTCTCTAAGCGGTGTACACCAGTAAGCAATTCATGTTGATTTAACAGTTAATTTCTATCTTGGTGTATTTTTTCCAGTGTCAAAGTTTCTTCATCTGACCTGGTCTTTTAAAAATGATTTGGAAGGAGACACTGGTGGATTATTTTTAATTATTAGCAGAGTTGGGAAGGATGATGGGCAGGAGTTGGAAGCTGCAGACTCCAGAGGACAGGAAGATTAGAAGATAATGGTAATGGAAGAGTCCCTGACTTCATTACTACTACTCCATTCTGCAAGTTGCCTATTAATAGCATTAGTTAAGATGAGAACTTGAGAAGGATAGTGGAGAGAGTTGAGACGACCTAGCTACAGTTCTGCATTGTACAGAGATGTGGTGGTCAGAAATGTAATAACTGAGATGGGAGCACTGTGGTTTCAATACAGAAGTGTTTTGCAGTGTGGTGCCTGACTGTTCTCTTGGTCCTTTTTGTTTCTTGTCACAGCATTACCAAGAAAATGGAAGAGCAGATGACAGTTGTGGCTAGGAGGGCTGTTGCACAATTTCATATTTGTGCAGCAGTTGTGCCCGTTCAGATAGGGGGAATCACTCATGGTCACTCATGCCCTCATCACCTTCTAGTTAGATTACTGCAGTGTACTGTATATGGGACTGCTCTTGAAGAATATCCAGAAATTTAGCTGATGCAAAATGTAGCAGTATAAGCAGTTGCATGTGTTTCTGGTAGAACACATGTTATACATTTCTGTTTCATGAGCTGCATTGGTTAGCAGTTTGTTTCTGGGTCCAATTCAAGATGCTTGTGTTGACTTTTAAAGCCCTTCATGTCACGGGACTGGGTTATTTGGCAGACTGCCTTTTCCTGATTTTATCTGCCTGTCCTACCAGATCCATCAGGGAGGTCACATTATGGGGTTTGTCACCCAGGGACCTACATTTGGTGGGTCCTAGATAGCAGGCCTTTTCTTCTGTGACATTCATGCTGTGGAATCTTCTCCCTGAGAAGAGGTTGGCCTTGTCACTGTTGACCTTCCAGAGGTCCCTCATGACCTAGTTATGCCAACAGGCCTGAGGACCCCACCGGATAGGTGAACTAATGAAGTGGCTCTGTTATTTTTAATGTATCTTGTCTATTATTATCTATTTTAGTTTGGTTTTTACTTTTTAATGTATGTATTAACTGATTAACTGCAAGATGGGTGGCCATATCAATTGGTTTAATAAATAAAACATATAGGACAATGATGGCAAACCTTTTAGAAACTGAGTGCCCAGATTGCAACCCAAAACCCACTTATGCATCGTCGAGTGCCAGGTGGGTGTGACCCATTGGCTGGGTGTGGCCCATTGAGTGGGCATGGCCCTTTGGGTGGGCATAGCTGCAGTGGTAACGGCAGACTGGGTGGGACTAAAAAGTTCAATCAATCAATTCCAACTTGACCCACGCAGCATAGCTTGGAAGACTTGACTAAAAAGTTGATCTTTTTTTTTCCCGCGAGAAGTTGAAATTGACTGATTGAGCCTTTTTTTTTTTTTTTTTTTTTTTGCACATGGCGGCGGAGGCCTAAAGTGAAAAAGTTTTATAAAACCCAGCTGAAGGCCTAGGACTGGGGCGACGGTGCACGTGCCCACAGAGAAGGCTCTGAGTGCTGCCTCTGGCACCCGTGCCATAGATTCGCCACCACTGATATAGGATTTATATGCAATAGACACTAATGGATGTGATGGTCTAAGGAAGTAACTCTCTCTCAAGTACCTTTGGTTAATAGTAAAAATGACCTTGAGTCACTTGAATCCTGATAACCTCATGTATACAATTTACTTGGTAACAGTACAGAATAGTTTTATTTTGCCCTCTTTAAGGATGCTTTGCTTGATCCTAGTCTAATGTGTAACCATGTTATTCCTGGTAGTCTTCTATTCATTATTAACAAGAACCAAAACTGCTTAGCTTTCAAATCCAAATAATATTGGGGTGGTGCTACTACCTGCTGAGATCAAGTGCCTCAAACTTTTCCTTTGATTAACTTACCAATTTGCTTTTTCTCCTCCCTGTAAAATTGCTTGCTTTATCTTCTTTAAATTTAATAGGCTGAAGTGTGCTGGAAGGGGAAACACAAGTCTTAGATGACACAAAGAGGAAAAAGAAATTGCTGTGTAGCAAGAAAACAATATTAGCAATAACAAGTCACAGATCAAATATTGCAGGAAGAAAATTAATTTAAAAGAGTACAAGAATATCAGCAGGAAATAGGAGAGCTGTAGTTTTTAATTAGGCTAAATGTAGACAGCCTATTCTTTGTCTCTCAGCAATAGTACTCATTTGTCAAATTAGATATTTAAGACATTAAAAAAGTCACAGTCCCCTTGAGAGTTCAAGGGTTTATTATTATATTGATGTAATACTGTGCACTTACCTGAACCACGATTTCTTTTTAATAGCCTTTTAACTGATCCTTAACTGATCAATCCTGGTTAAAAAAAATACTGGCTATATAGTGGTTTTTCCTTCTGAAAGGAAAAACTTCAAAATCCTTGAATGTGTTTTAAAGTAAAAGTCACTTTGAAAATACAACATCACCATATTGGATCTTCTATTTCTTAGAAGCACTTCAAATATTTGTATTAGGATATTCTTTCATGGAAGAGGTACCATGGTACTTTTTCTTGATTTCATTGAATAATTCAATGATTCTTATGTATTTTATCTGTGGCTGAATAATTCAATGAAATCATTGAATTATCCAGCCAGAGATAAAATACATAAGAATAATTTCCATAAGAAATGACTGGACTTGTATATTTAGTAATCCAAAACAGAAACAATTCATTAATAGAAGTATATTTTTTTATAGATTACTTTGGGCAAAATTAAATATAGATAATTCTAAATTGATATAGTACAAAGGACAATTGTATATTATTGATATATTTGGTTTTGCCTGCCATTTTTATTGAAATGTGATATTCTCTAATTAATGTTCATATTTGATATCCTTGGGACACTACACATTTATGAAAACTTAAAGAGCAGCAGTTGATTAGATATTCTCCCATTACTGCCCTTTTCCAACCAATATGACAGAAGTACAAAATGCCTGTGTTATGGTAGGATTTTTTTTTAATTAAAAAGGTATCTCCATACGTTGGGATCCAAAAGGTTTTTTATAAAGTTTAGATCTGTATCCTTAACTATACTTATCGATAGCTCTCTTCATTTCCCAAATTAACATGTGCATGTTAGACATGGTGCTTAAGTTTGAACACAAATGCAAAAAAGTGGGATTTGTGTCATGATGTCACCATGCATATATCATCATTTTAATATAATTTTAGTTTGTGGCAAGCACCTATGATTTTAGACTATTGTTTTTCAAACTGATGAGTTACAAACTATTACTAGATGGTAATCTAATCTGAGCAGGACATTATTGCTGCCTATCGCTAATATCCTTTTGTACGTTGGCAAAATATTAAGATGAAGGTTTTCAAATACATGCTTGGGTTTATAAGTGGGTACAAAGTCAAAGACTGAAGACTACTTTTAGGCTTCCAGACAGTAAGTAGGGAATAGCTATACGGTGAGGTAAGGAAGAAAAAGGTCTTGTAGACAAAATAAAGAGGAAATGCACCTAAATATTTAGCCTGGTCTCTGTGAATCTGGTTGGAGTTCGATTTTAATTATCCCCTAGTTGAGAAACGCTTAAAAAGATGGGAATTGCAGTACAACACAGTTAGAGTACACAAAGTTGATTTCTCAGTCTGATTTAGTTGAGGAGAAGGAAGGAATTGAATGCTATCTGAGTTAAGAACATTGTGATAAACCTTTTGAGCTTTTCCAGAAAAACATACTTAGTAATGTTAAACTCACCGCCAGCTTTCCTTTTGAGTGGGTATTCAAGAAGGAAAAAAATAGCAGTGTATATGTATAAAAGGTTAATCGGAGTTGTCATAGTGTTGGATGACTATGCTTTCTTTGCCCTGTTTTTAACCTTTCTCTATACTGTAAATCATGTGTTTTCTCCTTGCATTTACTCAGTAAAGATTTAACACAGTGAATAAGCTATTAAATGATGACCTAATCTTACAATTCAGTTCCTTGTATAATAATCGGGTTGGACTAGAAGACCTCAAAGGTCCCTTCCAACTCTAATATTGTTATTGTTATTGTAAATAATGATTATTGATCAGGGCAATAAGTATGTTATCTACAGATTATCTTTAAAAATAATTCTGGAGCACTTTCAGAAACAACAAGCTTTCAGACCAACCAGTATGCAAAGAGGCATGAATATGACTGAAAAATCTAACATCTGCTTCCATCTGGCTCGAGAAATTTCAGCAGTTAAAAACTGAAGGTCAATGGATCAAGAAAGCTACAGTTGAGAAAAGCAAGCAGGGAAGGCTTTTTTTAAAAAAAGGACATAAATGTCCTTATTTATGTTTTTTCAGCTTAAAATAGGACTTCAAAGCTTAACATCTCCTGTAGCGCCATCGTTCAAAGTTGTTAATATTGCTTGGAGATATGTCTTAGGATTTAGGCTATTAATCATCACCCTGGTTAAATTCTATTTTTTATTTTACAGAAAATGACAGTTGTTTCCTTACTTCTCTCTCAGATTTCCCAATGAAATACATTCTGGTCTTTTAGAGGTTATTTCCCCTTCTCCACACTTCTACCCAGATTTCTCCCGGCTACGAGAATCTTTCGGTGACCCTAAAGAAAGAGTCAGGTAATTCCAGGCAATCTGATTTAAAATTATATGCTAGGGGTAGCAAGGCTTGTTATATTTTATTACATGGCTTTATAATGGGTATTTAAACTTGTTTAGAAGAAAGCATATGGCATTCAGAAGAAGTGTAGTAAATAGTCATTGGGTGCTTGCTGGTATGTATGTTTCCCCCATTTAAAAAAAAAAACTCCTCAATGTTATATGAGTATTTGTTTCTGTGATTTTATGTAACTCCAGTGGAACGTATAATATGGTCAAATTGCATCTGATGTTATCAATGCAGCTGGATTTGCTTGACAGGTTTTGGAACTACATTATACTTGTTGTAGAGAAGCAGATGATTAAGTTCAGCATAGTAGAGGGATTTAACTCTTTGCTTCCTATCACAATCCCACTGTTGATGCTATTTATGTCCATCGCTTAGTTGGGGGGGGGGGAAGCAATGGGAATGTCAGCTGAAATCTGAAATAATGTTATAGCTCTGGGCTTACAACAAAACTAGAATTCTTCATATTTGACTAAAATCTTGTGGATGATTGTCTTCTGCCAGATGTACCTGATACCTACCCAGAAAATACCTCTGGCCTCCCAAAAAAATAACAGTAATTTGTTTTGTGTGCTGTTCTAGGTGGAGAACTAAACAGAATTTAGATTACTGCTTTTTAATGATGTATGCACAATCCAAAGGCATATATTATGTTCAGGTAAGTTTTACGATGCTCAAAGGATACATTCTATATTTTTTTCCAACTAAGAAACATTGTACCTCAAATCCAGAATAGGCAACCTATATTCAGCCATATTTTTAAAAAACTGTAGTTCCCCTCAATGCAGCTTCAAAACAAATGGCAAGGGTTTGTTGGAAATTAATTCAAAAACTCTGGAAGGCAATATTTGCTCAACATCTTGGATAAAAGCCCATTTGTTGGAGCAAGGGTTATTGTATCTTGTAGTGCAGGGGTGTCAAACTCGCAACGTCACGTGACATGTTACAACATATCACAACTTTTTTCCATTGCCAGCAATGGAGTGGGTGCAGTTTCGGCATGACACATCCAGCCCGCGGGCTGGCAGTTTGACACCCCTGTTGTAGTGTAAAGAGGAAAAAGCCGCTGTAAAGTACTAATGAGCAACACTTTGGGGGATTCGCGCTTTCCAAACTCTTGAGCGTCTATATGAATAGTTGTTGGTGAGCAGGGTCAGAATTATTGGAGGCACACACAGACTCCTCTTCCTCCTTGCATCAGGAACACTGGAAAAAGGTCATTTTTGCACTGCTGCTAATAGCAGCAGAAAAACTGGTTTTGACAGGGATCTTTTTGTGGAGGAAATGAAAGTCTTTCCTGCTAATACTTCTCAGAGTAATTATGGAGTGGAAAGACTTCAACTTAAGCTCCTTGATTGTACCTCTGATCAATACTGCTGCTTTCCTGCTGCTAATAGTGGAAACTTTCATTTTCTAGCCTCTGCCTCTGAACTAGAGCATGGGGAACCAGTGAGATGGTGGATCCTCACTGAGGCTCTAAGAACACTTTCAGTTTGCAGATTAGTTATGTGCTATTAATAGTTCCTTTATTTTATTTGCCCCTAGTAGATAGTACTGCAGGCCTAGTAGATATTACTGTAGGCCTGATAATTTTGATTTCAGCTTCCTCGGGAACATCTTTCCTTGCCATTCTAGCTTCAATTGGCCCCATGAAATTTATTTGCTGTAATATAAGTTTGCCTTTTTTAAAGCTTTGAATGACTATTGTAGAACGGCAGAATGAAATATTCTGTTTAGAAACCAAGCATATCAGCACTGATACTATGGGAATTAATTTAAGAAGTTTTTAGGTACAATCAAGAAGTTTTATGTAGGTTAGTAGATATGTATAGGATACATCAACTGTATGTTGATGTATCTAATATCACATGCACAGACCCAAATGCGCATATATAGATGAAGGCATGAGGGTCTTCTCCATTCTGTCACATACAGGTCATGGTGTGGCAAGGTTTTCATTCAATTTTAAAATAATGTTGACTATTATTAGTATTGAACCTACACAAGGCAAAAATATTCCTCTTTCTGATGGGCACAACTTGTTGACCAAAGAGAAGACTAAAAAGATGTGCTTTTCTACCAAGGTCACTTCCAGCATGTTATCAGAAATAGAAAATATAGAAACATACTGTCGTTATATTTTGAAGTGGCACATTATTAGAAAGTATGTATAAATAATGTTAAAATACTGAATTTAAAACATTTAGGAATTACGAAATCTTTGTTGCTTACCTTGCATGTTTTCATTTTTATATGACCTGTATAAAATCTAAGCTTAGCAGAAAAATGGAAACTTACATTTGAGGGAGTGACATATCAAAGGAGTAACATATCTATTACAACTAGGATATGCTCAAGATATCAGCTTTCACTACAATAACATGTGGGCATTAATCATGACAGCTGTAACCATAAAGCCGGCATAAATAAACATAAAGAACAAAGAGGCTCAACCATTAGGAGAACAGCCAAAAACTGAGAACAGGTACCTGATAAGCACAGAAGCAAGGAGGCACTCAACCGAAATAGTGAGATATTAAATGGCATTAATGCAAAACAAAGCAGGATCATAAAGCTGTGGCAATTTGATGTGCAACAGTATTCATTGATAAGGAGAGATCAAAGTCAGGCAAGCAAATAAACAGTGTTGCTCATCAGAAAGTGGATCATGAATCAAGGCTAGGGCTCCTTCACAATAATGGCCTGCTGGTTGTGAAATCAGCGTGTTGTTAGTAATACCAAAATATACAATGTTTTCAGATAATAGTTTTTTAAAAAAATATTAATTCAATGATTACAAATAAGTGTCCTGTTCGATCAAATCATATTGGGATTTTACAACACTGAGCTATTTTCCTTTGCTTGAAAATAAAAACTATTGGAAATTCGGGGTCTTCTTGTCCTTTAGCCAGAGGTAGCTTTTCTGTCTCCACTTTTTAGGGAGCTTTTTTCCCAGTGGCATACAAGTTCTCGGTTCAAGACCTGCCTCTTATGCAGCTATACGTTTCCCTCTCTTGTGCAGCTAGAAGATGATATTGTAGCCAAGCCAAACTATCTCAGCACAATGAAGAACTTTGCTTTGCAGCAACCTTCTGAAGAATGGATGATCTTGGAGTTTTCCCAGCTTGGTTTTATTGGTAAACTCATTTTCTATGCCTGGCTGTAGCTTAAGGTGTTGTTTTGGGTTAATGCAAGACATGTATTGCTCCTGTAATACTGGAAAAAGTATTTCTCTAGCCCAACTTACTAAGGCAACTTTCTCAGAACCTATAGGAATATAGTAAGACTAACTATCTCTAGTTTACCTTTGCTTTTTATGTGTGACAAATCTTTTATTGATGTGATTTATTAAATATTGTAAGCAAAGTTTCCTAGGAGGGTTTAGTTAAAAATAGGAATGAACAAAGAGTTCTTATAAATACTTGCTAGTGGATATATGAAGAAAGAGATTTTAATTTACTCTGAAGTTTCAGCTTTTATGGCTGAATCAAATTGGTAGTCCTTGTTCCCCCTCTTTGCTAATTATGATATTGGTATTGTGCAACTGAACAAGGAAATAATCTTGATCCTTATGAAACAATTTTATAGACAGAATTGCCTCTTTGTGAAAAGAAACATTACTGTAAATACAGCTCAAAGGCCAATTATTTGGATTTATTTGGCCACCAATGCCTCGCCTAATCTTGATCAAAACTGAATTATATCTCATACAAAAATGCCTATATTTTGGAAAAATTGCATGTAAAACTGTAAATTCAAAAATGTGCAAAAATAACTTCTGGAAGACAGCTTCACTGCATATAGAGTTTTTTATATTATTATTATTGATGATGATGATGATGATGATAATGATAATAATAAGAGTTAGAAGGGACCTTGGAGGTCTTCTAGTCCAACCCTCTGCTCAGACAGGAAACCCTGACCTATACCATTTCAGACAAATGGTTGTCCAGTCTCTTCTTGAAAACTTCCAGTGTTGGGGCATTCACAACTTCTGGAGGCAGGTTGTTCCACTGATTAATTGTTCTAATTCCATTTTTTTTTTGTAGCAAATATTTTCTATTTTCTGTAAAATCCTTATTGCCAGGAATTGCAGAACCTGACCTACTGTGAGGCAGGAAAAGAACTGACACATGTAATAAAACATAGGACTGTTCCCCCACCATTTCCTGACCTGAAAACCACTCTGCATGAGAAAGCTGTTGCATGTCTTTTTTGGTTAGAGCATTTTCGAAAGGCTTCAGGGCTTAATCCTAATTCCCTTCACATGATCAAGTTAGCTGCAGTATATATTCTTCTCTTTCAAGAATTCCTAGAGTACGGAAGATGTTTTTTTATCTTTTGTTGATCCAGAGTATAGTTTTATTAAATGTTAAGTCATGCCAGTCTTAAGATATAGTTTTCTCTTTTTTATCCAAATATTCTTTCAGGAAAGATGTTCAAGTCCTTGGATCTCAGTCTGATTGTGGAATTCATACTTATGTTCTACAAGGATAAACCCATCGATTGGCTTCTTGATCACATCCTCTGGGTAAAAGTTTGCAACCCAGAGAAAGATGCGGTAAGTTAGTCCTCTGTTAAAAGGAATGGTTGCTTCTTCTTTTTTATGCAAAAATGTTTGTTCATAAATGTTGTTAAATTCTGCCTGGTGTTATCAGTAAATATTTTTAAAATGTGCACTGAATCTTTTTGTTATTCCATATTGTTATGTTTATTATTTTACAGAAGTAAAAAAAGATTGTCTGCATTCTTTTAGTTGAAGGGAGAATAATTCCAAAACAGTGGGCCACTAATCTAGTCCTAGAGATGTTGTCTTCTTGTGGGAAACTGCTCAGATTATTATTTTTTTTAAATAGCCTTTTCTGTAGTTAGAAAGAGAATAATGTAGCAGAGAACTTTGCTATATTTGTTAAAACTTTGTTAGAATATCATGGATATTCTACTACAATTTTGATAGGTTTTTAATAATAATTACTAGAGCTCTACAACATGAGATCCCAGGAAAAGATGCAGCTGCTTTAAGCAGTTGCTGACAATGCTAAATTTGAGCTCCTCTGAGCTCCAAAATACCTTTTGGGATTGAAACCAAAGGGCTGCACAGCCCAGAAAATTACTAAATTAAAAATCATTCTCTGCCTACTTGCTTTTTTATTTATTTAAAATATGGGTTTGCCCTTTCCATGAAAAAGATCGCAAAATGGATTATAGTAATATTCAAACAATAAAACAGATTCAAAAACAAAATAAGTAACAAAATAAACTGTAAAAAATTATAGAAAAAAGCAGCAATAAAAACTTTAACATATCAAGTATTAAAAGTGCTGTGAAAATAAATATGGTTATGAGATATCAAAAAAGACAATAAAGACTCTTGGGCTTTGCTTTATAAGTCACTCAGTGAAAAAACCAACTCCTAGGACCTCAGCACATTTAACTTATACCATTTATCCTATTACAGTAGTAAATATATCTTTTCTTGGGAAAAACAATAATATTTGCCCTCCCCGAATAATTATATTCCTTTTAAAGCAATCTTTACCATAACAAGGCTTTTTTCCTTCCCTAAATTGTCCATAAACTAATTACTGTTTTGTTGGGTGGACATCGGATTGAAAGAATATTGAACAGAATGAAGGCAAATGGGTATTGGAAGTGATTAAAAGCTATACTGACTATTGCAGAATTTAAAAGGACATTGCTAATTCTAGAGACTAATATACAGAAGTTGGGCAATACATGTACAGTAAGTATACTTTGGGAAACAAGATTAGAATTAATCCCTCATTCAACATAGTGTATGTTGGTGACCTTGCAAGCAGTGCAAATTCTTGAAGGGACTAGCATGGGCTGATCACTAATATATGCTTGCATTGTTTCTCTAAATGCTGTCTTTCAGTTCTTCAAGATTTACGAATCATCTGTGCCCAGATGTAGAATCTGGCATTTCCTACAAAACAAAATGCATACATTATTTTAATTTAGTCAGTCTTGGAATTAATATTAGAATTGGATTAGTTTTAAGATAAGATCCAAATTTGCTGGATCAGCCCAAAGGTTGAATGGTTCAGCATTCTGGATTACATAATAGGTTATTGCATCTGGGATGCTCATAAGCCTGAACTGGAGAGCAATAATCCCTTTCCATTGTAATTTCCTACCACCCATTATGCAAAGCATACTGCCTGTGATTCAAGAGGTAGTAAGCAACTGTCAATATTCAATATTCCTTCCTATGAACTTGCCCAGCCTCGTTCTAAAATGAATCAGATGGTCCAATATTGCAAAGACTTCTGGTAGTAAATACCATGATTTAAATATGTGCTGTCTGAAAAAAATATCTCTTTCTTTTGATCCTGAATTTCTCTGAAGTTAATTTCAGTTATGGCTGTTCGTAGGTTAGTAGCAGATATCATTATATAATTGCATCAACAACATAATGGCACAGGCAACAGCATTTTGAAGTCATTGTAACCTGTTACCAATGGTTTCAAGGGATGACTTTGAGTATAATACTGGAAAGCGGGAGAAGATTCTGTCCGTGTTATTTATGTCATGCACAGTTTTATAACTTGGGTGTCTCTTCTATTATCTGCCTTTGTTCCGGGCTGAAGAGCTCAGTTGCTGTCATTTTTCCTTGTGGAAGGGTGGTAGTGGAAGGGGGCTGCTTCAACCCAATAATCATTTTGATTGCCTGTTTTGTACAATTTTTTTCCTTTCCTGTAATAATTTTCATATTTTTTATCTTTTCTTCTACAATGTATTTTTCCAGTAAATAACCTTTTCTTAGTCTTTTTAGGTGTAGTGAGTAGAACAATTAACATGTATGATCTTGCTATCAGTTTGTATGAGGGCCTTATATTGGCAGTTTTATTTTCAATTCTCTCCCTAATGACTAAAAAAAAAAAGCCTTGTGCTTTGCTAAGTGCCAGAGACGAGATGTTGCTACATGCTTTTTCTCAGTTACAAAGCCTTGACTATAGATAGTATTTCAGTGTCATGATATATTCAAGTTCACATATTTTTCTACCCAATTATTTTCTTTTATGAAACTTTCCAAGGGCTTCTAAGACTGTTTAAACCATTGTCTATTTAAATATATAATCTACTTCCAACATGGATTTCTGGCTCTCCTTATGTTTTTATGAGTAGTTTCTCACACCAGTCTTCTGTATTCAGATTTTTCTCTTATAAATCCTGCTGTTAACATCAAATCAGTAGTTTGTAGGATTTATTTCCCTAATGGAAACTATGCCTAACCTGAAGTTTTGTGATAAGTGCTTTGCCTTCTGTGGATCTCTGTTGTTGCTTTTGTATGAAAAATAACAGAGTTTACTAAACTGTGCTGCTGTCATTACTACTTTCATTACTGCAGAAATAACAATGATAGCAACAAAACACTAGGAGGAAAATGGATCTGCTGTTTATACAGTGTCCCACTTATCCCCAAGTAAGCAAAAGCTATTTGCTTGCAATAGTCAGGAATGTTCTTATGAACAAAGTCTGATTTTTAATTTTCTAAAGTAATGAGAGTGAGATTAGAGGATATATATAGAACAGAACTGCAAGGAATGATTTTGCAATCCCAATTACTGCAGATTGTATAGATGAGGGAGAGCTGTGTATTTTAATCTTGTTCTTGTAAACCAGAGTACATTAATAAGGATGCCCTCAGAACTCTAGAATGATAAATTTTAGTGGGTTAACAAGTTTGTTCAAGAGGCAAACTCTGTCCAGGACAGAATAGTCTTGTTTCCATTTATGTTGAATAGGGTTCAACATAAAGCCTGAAAGGTTCACTTTTGACTACTAAAAAAGTGGGTCACTCTTTCTTGCAGCCAGCCATAAAGAAGGTTTCATGTCATGGAATTACAAAAAACATGGATTCCATAATCCTTTATGGATGCCGTAATCCAATCCAAGGCAATATCTTTAGTAAACCAGTTTAGACTTTTTTTTAAAAAAAATAGTGTATACACCTTTTGTTCTCAAGTGTTATTTATTAGGTCAAATAGGAAATAAAGGAAAACGAAGAGAGAAAATGGTTGTTCAAGACTACATTTTCATGTAGTAGCAGTGAGACTGAACACAGCAGACAAGTAAATTAATTTATGATTTCATCATTTCAGATTATATCAGTGTTGCTGGATGAAAAAGTAACCTTCTTCTCTTCCACCCCAAATATAAAAGTTGGTCTTCCATTTTTGAAAATAATCCAAGTCCAACCTATTGGCATATTTTAATGAAATATTCAGCCTCTTGGTAGGTGAGGGAAAATTCAAAACTAAAAGAACTTAATTCAACTTGAAATTGAATAGTTCTAGCACCAACCACCTACAAACCAACCCTGGATAGTACACAGTAAAACCAATCAAATAAAAATATAATAATTATGAAAAAAATAATAGAAATAAACAACAACAACCAATGTTAGATCTGGCTAATCCAACCAGCCACAATTCAGCAGGAAAATAAATCCTACAAATTACTGATTTGATGTTAACAGCAGGATTTACAAGAGAAAAATCTGATCTTGAGAAAAATTAGCGTTAACAGTGTAATTCCTTATATTTATGAGTTAAATTTCTGCTAGAAAAAAGTTCAATTGAAATTAACAAAATGTGTGTGTGTGTGTGTGTGTGTGTGTGTGTGTGTGTGTAAATTCGGTAACTAAAAAGGAAAAGGTGTGAAAAAAAATACATCTAATCAGTCATAAGAAAGTTTGAAGTTCTTAAATGGGGCAAATGGAGAATATGTCAAAGGATTGATTTCAAAATAAGCAAGAAAAAAGGGAGGAAATATAATTAACCTTTTTAAACTGCTACTTAATAATCCCAAAATTAATAACAGATTTTTGAGACTGTATACCAGCTAAATAGTTACAGATGCCAAAGATTTTCTTTTCCCACTATTCATCTTCTAACAACCCCAACAATTTTTTTCATTGAAAATTAACAATAAATTCTTCTTTAATGAAATCAGAAGTAAATCAACAAGTTAAGAGCTTTATAGAAACCTGTCTGAACTGAAAAACTATGTATGTATTTATGTGCATTTTAACACTAAAATAATATTTTAGTATTAAAATATCCAAATTTTATGATAGCGTTTAAAAAGGGATTTCTATGGAATTTTCATTTTTAACTGCAATTCAACTTGGTCAGTTCACCTTAATCCATACAGCTCTTAAAAACAGCTACTAATTGAGAAAGCAGGTTAGAGAAATAGTCAATTTGGAACAACCAAATAGATAAATGGATCTCAATGAAGATAGACCTAACCATTTGAATTTAGCAAGGCATTTTCTAAGATTCCCATTTTCTGGCAATATACTTGTGTTCATAATATTTGACCACACTTGGAGTGAAGGAGGACAAACCAGTTTAGCACTGTCATGAATCTGTATGCTTCGAATGCAAGATGGGGAGAGCAACGGTGAACTAAATGAAAGTAGCAAAACTAAACTATTTTCCATTTTGTTCTTCAAAACTGAAAGATTAAATATTTAGTTCCTGCTGTGTTTTTTTTTCTCCCCAGAAACATTGTGATAGACAGAAAGCAAACCTAAGAATCCGCTTCAAGCCTTCGCTCTTCCAACATGTAGGAACCCATTCCTCTTTGGCTGGTAAAATACAAAAATTGAAAGTGAGTAGAGAACATTGCGGTTATGGAAATGAGGAAGTGGAGAAGGGGAGATAGAGAGGAGCAAGTGGCACAAACATGGTTGTTGCTTTATGTTAACTATTAAATTATACAAGTATTATACATAGTCCTCATTTAATGATTGCCTCATATAATAACCATTTGGAAATGGCAGTAAATGAAAAAGCAACTTTACAATCAATCCTCCCACTTATGACCTTTGCAGGTCTGTGAAGCAAATGAAAGTTGAAGTACAATTAGTTTCACTTAACAGCCGTTTTACTTAACAATCAAGTTGCTAATCCCAGTTGCAACTAAATGAGATTGCTAAATGAGAACTACCTAAAAGTTCTTGCTTTTATTCCCTGAATTGCTGAAAGTGGCTGAGATAGAGTAAAAAAAAGATAGTAGAATGCATGAAGACAACCAAAATCTGGCTGATTCTGACCAGTTGTGCTTCAGACTAGCACAACTAGCAGACTTGCAGTATTTTTTTTTTTCTCTGAGCTTAAATTTCACCAAATCTGGATTCCAGTGAGGAATCTTGTAATGCTGCACAACTTGGATGTCGAGGAATGGAGCCAATTTCAAAATGGAGGGGGGGAGAAAAATGTTTTGAAAGTAAAAATAGCTTCCTGGAGGGAAGGAAACTCCTGATGTAGCTCAGTTCCCCTGAGTCACCTACCATATGTGTGAGTTGGGTGGCCAAATAAATGTATTTAATAATAAATAAAAATTACTTGTGAACCTGTATTAGGGGACATGTATATCCACACACATACACAGTTTAGATCAGGAGTTCTCAACCTTGGAGACTTTAAGACTTGTGGACTTCAACTCCCAGGAATTCTGGGAGTTGAAGTCCACAAGTCTTAAAGTTGCCACGGTTGAGAACCCCTGGTTTAGATGTACCTTAACAGATTAATGTGTAAAATGCAATGGGTTTTGAATGTGTGAAGCAGTTTTGGAAAGACAGGTGCTGCCTGATACAGATCTCTTCCCTGAGGAATAAAGGCCACCGGTGCTATTCTGCAAAGAGGAAAGAGATGCTTCAGTGATAGAATATGGAGCAAACTGTAAATGGTTCAGAAAGAAAAAAGAGGCATCCGGTCAAGAGGCAAAAAAATTGGAGCTTATCCACTTTGATGAAAAGAGAAAGAGACTAGGGTAAATTAATTAGCAATGTATTTTGCCATTTGTCAAAGCTTTAACACTACAGAATAAAGTCTGAAAGTAAAGCTGGAGAGAGGAGGAAGAGTTCTAATATACAAATAGTCCTCAACTTGCAACTGATCATTTAATGACCATTTGAAGTTACAACAGACTTCAAAAAAGCTACTTAAGACCTATGCTTGAAGTTACTTGAAGTTATACTTGCTGCCTCTGCCACCACACCGCACCCTCCAATTACTTGACTGTGTTTTGGGCGCTTGGAAACCAGCTTGCATTTACAACCACTTGCAGTGTTCCATGGTCGTGTGACCATGATTTGTTAGGGTGTTTTTTTTTTTGTTTTTTTTTTTTGCTGGTCTCTGGCAAAAAACGCCCATTTAGGAGATTGGATTTGCTTAAGAACCACAATGACTTGCTTTATGACCATCACAAAAACAGATGTAAAATTGAATTGATCACATGACTGCAGTGACTTATGACTGAAGTTCTGGACTCTGTTGTGGTAATAAGTTAAGAGCTCCCTGTATTAGGCTGAACATTTTATGCATACCTGAATTTTGGAAGTTCTGTGAGTGCTGCTTCTTCCTTTCATATTGTATAGTGATTTAATTAGATGAAGGGATAGTTATTTTATTTCAGTTTATATATTTTTTCCTAAAAATTTAGTTCACATAATAAGAATTAAAAGAAAATATAACGGTAAATATACACTGAAATTCCCCCTTCTCCTTTCATAGTGGAAGCTCAGTGCCTGTATGAAAAGGAACACTTCAACGTTCTTTCATTTGTTAATGTTTAGGATTTCTACCAACCCAATTCCAGGTTACATCAAATGGGTTTTTAAGCTGTCTTATTGATGCCTTTTTTCAAGATTATGACGATGATAGCTCAAAAGGAAAAAAGGGACAGTCCTCACGAGACAGAAGATGGCAGAAATTCACCCTTTGTGCAGGGATAGGTGTCAGTAGTGATATGCAGAGAGAAAGACATGAGTTGGTGATAGATTGGCCATGTAGAGCAAAGGAGGAGGAAAACTAAGAGACAAAAGCTTTGTGGCTGACTGACAGGGTGGATACTGATTTCATCAAAAGAAACAATGAACATACAGTATAAAGTCATAACCATTTGGGAGGGGAAAAAATGTTAAATCTGTCCCTTAAAATCCTTTCAGAGCATCAGATGGGCGATATTTTCCACAGATGTGTAATATAAAAAAGGTATGTTCCTCAAGGAAATCATTTCAGTTTTGCTTTTATCTTGTATATTGAGGACAAAGATTTTGGAAAGCAATCTCTTCGCAAAGAGCACGTGAACCCTCCTGCAGAAGTGAGCACGAGCCTGAAGACCTACCAGCACTTCTCCTTGGAGAAAGCCTACCTGAGAGAAGACTTTTTCTGGGCGTTTACTCCCACAGCGGGTGACTTTATACGCTTTCGCTTTTTTAAGCCGCTCCGTATTGAACGGTAAGCTTCAACAGCTTTGGGAAGCAAGGAATGGGAAAGTTAAGCTTGTGGTTGAAAGTCCCTTGTTCTGGTGAAAGACAATTCCTCTGCAAAGCAGATTGCATGTCCTTCAGTTCCTTCCCAGTATGCTCCAACTGTTGCTTTTTGTTTTGAGTCTTTCTGCACACCCTGAAAGACAGAACAATCTTAAGGTACATGATAGAATTGTTGGCCTGCTCAAAGTTACTGCAGAAGCTCTGCATATGAACTTGTTGGTGATGCCCATATCACTTTGGCTTTCCATTCTCCAACGTTGCTGCTTGGTGTGTTTTTTCTTTTATCTGAAAGCAGTAATTGCTACTTGAAACTAAGGAGCCTTGATTAGAGTCTTTTTATCCTGCATATATTTTCTCATAATTAGATTATATCTGACATGAGTTATTTTCCACATACTGATACTGCTAAAAATGTATAGAGAAGCAACTAGTATAGTCTTAGGCTCCCAGGTTATGGTGGAATGCTGTTCCTACAGTCTGTAATGCAACCTTTGGAGTTAGTGGGGGTTGCAGTTCAACACATCTGGAGATTTTCAAGATGGATAAAGTTGCCCTAGTGCTTCTGGAAGATGGAACAATGAGATATAATGACAGAGACTAGCTTAGCATTAGATGAGTCTGGCTCTTGAGACCCCAAAATAACTGTATGTGAAGTTCTATAATCTTAATCCAACATGATCAGGAGCCTCTGGGCAAACACAGACTGCAATAGGAGGAAGGGCTCAAGATGTCGCAAGGAATGTTTTAATTTTATTCTTCTCCCCAAAATGCATACTGCTGCAGGCTTGCACGCATGTACTATTTCAAAGAAGTTATAATTGTTTTCAGTTCAGCCACAACACAATGAAGCCTTTCTTCTCCTTCACCTTGTTGAAGGACTTCATGAATGTTTTTTCCTTTCCTATGTGCCCAATTCAACATTAAATTTATTTTCAATCCCTCAGTCTGAATTTTGGCAAGGACTCATAACAGATGGGGCCTTAGTGGCATCTTTGCTGAGCAGTACCATCCCCAGGGAGACTTGTCTAAACTATAGATTACAATTGTGGCTTCAGAAAGCAAATAATGTTTATTTATTTATTATATTTTCTAAAGACTCGTAGCATTGCACAATTAAAATCAGGACACACAATAATAACTCAAAAATGAACATAGTAAATCAACCAATAACATTAAATATTAATAATAACATTAAAACAAATACGAATAGTATCCAAAGATTCAGTGCCAACCCTCAAATGTTCTTCTAAACAGTTCTGCTTTCAAAGCCTGCGGAAGCCTACAAGCAAAGGAACTATCCAAATCTCTGGAGAGAATCTCTATTTTGAAGGGTGATGTTGTCACAGAAAAGCACAAATTTCTCACTGAATCTCCCATGAGCAAGAACTTACAGTCAGATCTCCTAGGACAAGCACACTGGATTGTTAGGAGCTATTTGAAATAGATGGCCAAGCAGAATATAAAGCAATGTAGGCTTTGTGGATCAACACCAGCAGTTTGAATTGTATCCAGGAGGCTATTCACAAGGAATTCAGTGCCTGCAACACAGATGTTATGAGTAACACACAGGCTGATATTTTGTACCAATGGTGATTATTAAATAATCGTTAGAGATTTCTCCATGTAGTGTGCATTGCGCTAATCTTTCCAGGAGAAGGCAAGGGCCTGAGTCACCTTCTCCAGCTACAGGTACTTTAGCTAAAGCTGGGCAAAGATTCCACCTGCCTATCAAACAGCAGCTGTGGATCTAAGGGAACCCTAAATCGTGTACCTGCTCCTTCAGGGTGAATGCTACCTGAACCAGGGTTATCACTGGAGTAAAGTACAGATGAGTTCTGGAAAAAGTCAATCTTGCTGGGATTCAGCTTCAACTTGCTCCTTTCCATCCAAAGAAAGAGAGAAAGATGAATTGAGCACGAGCTGAAGTAATTAATAGGAAGTTTGGAAACTGTATGGTGGTTGTATTATACAGCCAGTTGCAGGAAGAGTTTATGATGGGGATGCATTAGTTCCTCCTTCAAGGAGGACAGTACCATCCCATCCTAGGCCATGTTGCAAGACTTTACTTCTATAATCTCCATAGATCCTGCAGAATCAAGACCTAAATGAATCTGAACAACCTTACTGCCAAAATATTGCCCAGAATTCTCACTGAAGCATATGCCCAGATACTGCTTTTTGGCTGGGAGGGGAAACGGAAAGGAATGAAAGCATTTTAAACAAGGCTTCTGGGCCATAGTCCACCAACTTAATAAGGGTGGATAATTAGAAACATCCCATCACCCTTATCGCTAGGATCCATTCTTAATGACCTATGCAAGATTCAAGGAAGCAAGTACCTTTCAGGAAACCAGGAAGTAAAGTAGCAGAATTACTATGAAGTTCCCCATTTGTGTAGAGGCATTACTTTGTTCTACCCTTTTGGGCTTCTTAGGTTATAAAATTACTGCCTTTGTTAAGTTTTTCTTGCATTAGGATTTTCTTTAATTTTGTTACACAAACTGGCTTTCTATGAAAGAATAGCAGGGTAGCAGTTAATGTTGCTTCATTCCATACAGCGATACTTCCTGGTTTTTTTTTTCCCTGCAGGTGTCTTAAAAGTGTTGTCTTCCTGAAAATGTTAGCACAGTTGAGGTTAGTAGGGTGCAGATTCAAGTGTTATCTGCAGATTAAAAAATTACTGAGGACCACAGTTCGAAAAGGACAGATATCCCTCAAGAAAGATATTTTGCCAGACATTAAATGACTGAGATATTCCTTTTGCTTAAGTTCAATGTTAGCATCTTGTATTTTTCGCATATCTTAGGACTGAGAGCCTGTCTGGTGGTTTGGTTAAAGTATTAGAGGAGAACTAGACAGACTCTGTTCTTGTTCTCTCTTAGGCACAGAAGCTGGCTTTGGGCAAGTTGCTCCCTCTCAGCCCTAGACTGGGAAATCATAAAACATCTATCCACCAAACAATATTGGTCCAGTATGTACAGTATGGTCCATAACCTTCAATAAAAAGGCCTTGATCCTTCAGTGGATTGGATGATGATGATGTTGATCCTGATGATGATTGTGATGTTGATCATGATAACAATAGTAATATCAGTTAGACTTATATACCTCTTCATAATGCTTTACAGCCCACTCTAAGCAGTTTAGAGAATCAGCTTATTGCAGTGATGGCGAACCTTTTAGAGACCGAGTGCCCAAACTGCAACCCAAAACCCACTTATGTATCGTTGGGTGCCGGGTGGGCGTGGCCCATTGGGTGGGTATGGCTGCAGTGGTAACAGCAGACTGGGTGGGACTAAAAAGTTCAATCAATCAATTCCAACTTTGCGAGATTTTTTTTTTCCTGCAAGAAGTTGAAATTGATTGATTGATTGATTGATTTAACCTTTTTTTTTTTTTTGTACATGGCAGTGGAGGCCTAAAGCGAAAAGGTTTTATAAAACCCAGCTGATGGCGCATGTGCCCACAGAGAGGGCTCTGCATGCCACCTATGGCACACGTGCCATAGGTTCGCCACCATGGGCTTATTGCCTCCAACAATCTGGGTCCTCATTTTACCGGCCTCAGAAGGATGCAAGGCTGAGTCAACCTTGAGCTGATCAGGATTGAACTCCTGGCTGTGGGCAGAGTTAGCCTGCACTACTATATTCATAATGCAAATTCTTCAAAAGAATTGTGTACTTATAGAGACAGCTGCAAGTAGATAGAAGGCAGCTCTGTGAGCTTGGAGTAAATTACAGTTTACTGATTGAAAGAGAAGTACTTTGATTGAAAGAGAAGTACTTTGTGCATGTTCCCGCATTTGCAAAAGCATTTCTTTCAAAGAATTTGCACTACAGTGGCATATATTTCTGCAAATGATAGCCAATATCTTTTCTTCTTTTTTTCTCCTGCCGTGGCCTAATTCCATTATGCTTAGGACATCTCAGTTCTTTTGTCTGATGTGCATTGCTTCTCTCTCTGCAGTGAGAGAGTGCATTGCTTCTCTCTCTGCTATCTTCGCCTGCAGTTTAAACTATATCTTCAGGAACTATAGGAACAATATTAACGTTGTTTCTAGAAATCCACTTGTTTACATTTCTCTGAATTTAATTTCTCTCTAAAAAAGTTTTAAATAAAAAAAAAAATAGGAACAACTTCCCTTTGTGGCCTTTTTCTTCCCAATCTACTCCTGCATTCAGAAGGTATTTCCAGTAATGTCTGTTTCTCCAGTTTCAGTTTAAGACGCTAGCTGAAAAGGTCACTTTCATCATGAAAATGGATATTTGTGCTTCTTACTGCTAATAGATCCTTTCAAATGCAGTAGAGTGCTTAATTTGTGAGAATGGACAAACAGTTGATCTGTAATTGGTAGCATGTTTGCTTATACAATATAGTACTTTTCTTTCTCAAAAATACTTTACAGAGATGGTTATTATTGAGTTCAGCCAAAGTCGTTGGTGAGGTGAATTTTATGTTTTACCACAGTGTTTCCCAAACCTGACAATTTTAAGGCATGAGGACTTCAACTCCCAGAATTCCACAGCCAGCAATGCTGGCTGTGGAATTCTGGGAGTTGAAGTCCACATGCCTTAAAATTGTCAAGTTTGGGAAACACTGTTTTACCACTGTGGGGGCTCTGCAACCATTATTAATTCCTTTTGCACAGGTTTTTCTTCCGTAGTGGCAACATTGAACACCCTGAAGACAAACTATTCAACACAACCGTGGAAGTCTTGCCATTTGATGTAAGTTTGTTAATTATAATTATTAGATTTTTATTTTGCCTTTTTATATATTTTAGTCCACGCAAGGCAGCAAATGTTCCCAATGCCCCCTTTCCCCCCTATTTTCCTCACAATGACAACCCTGCAAGACAGGTTGGATTGAGGTGGCTTTTAGGCCTCTCTTGTAGCCTGCTTAGAATTCAGATGATCTTCTGGTTCCAGACCAGCACTTTTACCACAACACCAAAATAGCTCCATGGTGGAACTCTGAAACTATTCTCCTTCAAATGTTTCTGAATCTCAGTTGCTGGTTCTGGTTTTGGTTTATTCATTATCCCTTTTAGGAGCTAAGAATGGTTTTTCTAAAGTGCAATATTACAACATTTATGATTCCCTAAGATTAGGTGGTAGCTTTGGAATCCATAGTTATTACAGGTAAGCCCTTGACTTGTGACTGTAATGGAGCCTGACATACGATCATCAGTCATGAAGGTCGTAAAGTGGGTCATCACGTGACCAATTTGATTTGACAACTTTTTTTTTGCTTCAGTCATTAAGCAAATCACCATAGTCATTAAGCAGATCCCTGATCGTTAAACGAGCCTGTTGTTTCCTATGGGGGATTTTTGCCAAAAACCAGAAGTAAATGCCAGTTTTTGACAAGAACAATGTAAATTGTGTTCATGTGACTGCAGAATGCTGCAAATGGGCATAAATGCAGACTGCCTGTAACTGCCCCAAATGCAGTCACATGACAGTAAGGAGGACCCAGCCATTGGAACTTCAGAATTGGGTTGTAACTACCTCAGGAGAGGGTACCTCATGACCTCAAGTAGTCAGTTAGCGACCCATCATAAGTCAGAGACTACATGCACCTGTATTAGAATGTTGGAGGCATCATAGATTGTTAGGAGTGTAAGACAGATTATTATTTTGTAGCCAGTTATCTATCTGGGGTCACAAAGTCTAATCAGAATCTAAATTCCAACAGCCAGAGATTGCATTGCAAACCTCAAAGCAAGTTCTGCTTCATTATTCTCAATGTAAAACGCATAGCCTATAACAGAGAAAAAGGTTTTCGAGTCTGATCCTTATTCAATATCCTTCAGAAGTCTTTTATGAGTCCTTGAAAGGCATAAAAAGTTTTACTGACACTGACTGTTAGAATAATGCTCTCTTTCTCTAAGGGCATGAGTATTGCTTGGTGATTTATTGTCATAGCATTTCACACTGTATACACAGCAGGCTACCTAAATCCTTAGAGCTGCCTTTTTGCAAAGATTGTCTGTTTCCCTGAACAGAGTCTGCAGTCAGATAAGGAAGCCCTGCAGGAGGGAAGAGCAACAGCATTCAAGTACCACAGGACGTCTGATGGCTACATACAGATAGGTAAATTGCTGGTTCAAGTCCAACAGTACCCTGCCGACTGTAGATGGTTATGTTGCTCTTCATATAATGCAAACACAGAGTATGATGGCCAGGAAGGTGTAGGATAAGCTTCTTCTGAATTCATTAGCATTTGTCATTAATTGCCCTGGCATTTAGAGTGACAAAGAATGAATTTATTATCAGTATTGAGTATATTGCCCCATCTAATGATTCTGAGTACCGCACAGTAAAACACAAACAATAAACTCTTGTGGCACTCCTAAGCATGTACTTAGTTATCCATCTAATAATAAGCTACCTTACTGCAGAGTTTCTAATAATCTAATATTTACAACAAGCTCGACAACTCATAGACATTAAGACAAGAGAAAGTATGCCACAACTGTTAAAAATGGGCCCCGGAAGTTTGGTCAAAGAGTTCAGTTTTAACAGTCTTTCTAAAGATATCCAATGTGGGGGCAGTTCAAACCCCAGAAATCTTAATCCTGAGATCTCACACCTGTCACTTCCTGGTGGGCAAATGAAAGTGGGCAGATTCAGTTCAAATGAAACAATCTGGGAGATATCTGGGAACATGCCACATGGAGCTTTCTATTGTTCTTTAAAATCTTTTGGCAGCCAATGCAGCAACTACAAAATCAATGTTATAATAGTAGAGCAACTCTTATGTTTCGAGCTGCAGTTTACAAATAATTTTCAAAGAAACCCAAGTGAATCATATTGTAGTAATTGTACATCAAGATGATGAGCATGTGAGTATCTTCACCATCTCCCACTCCAGGAAAGATCACAACTGGAACACCAGCCAAATTGGGTTAGGTTTCTCCCGACCACCAGTCCACCTACTGATCAAGGAGGAATTGTGAGTCTAGAAGAACTTCCAGGTCATGAACTTTAGGGAAAGTCATTAGCCATTAGGAGAAGAAAAGGAGACCAATGTTTTCTCCAGCAGGATGGCTGTAGAGTCCAAATGGATGGGTTCTATGACGGCCTTCCTGCCTGGCAGACTGGGTAAAAACTTCGGCCACACCCCTTCCTTTGGGCGTGACCCCAGTTTTAACTCAGTCTCGAAGCCTGGTAGACGTGCGAGAAGCAGCTCTCAGAACAATAGGAATTTATCCCAAAAGAAAAGGGAAAGAAGCATCTTCCTTCCATTTGAATGAAAAGCTCTCTGGCAGCTGATAGAACTTAAAAGGCACAGCCAGGATCGGCGGAGTTGTGAGTGGGGCGTCAGGGCGGCTAGCAGGGGAGGCTTGGAACGGGGCCGGATCGCTCGTCGATATCCGGCCCGCCGAGCAGCTGTTTGGCGCGGGGATCCCACCGGGTTGTTCGTCGCCCTCCGATCCGACAAACAGCTGAGTGGCCGGCTCGGCTCGGCCGACAGAACTGAGGCGCCGCTCAGCGCGAAACAGCTGAGCCGCGCGGGAAGCGGCAAACTGCGGCGCTGCTCGGCATCGATCAGCTGAGCGGCGCGAAAAGCAGCCCTGACTAGGACAGAGCCTTAACGCTATTTTCCTTCCCTCAGAGGAGAGGCGCAGCCCCTTAAAACCAAAGGAGTCTCCCTTACTACTGAATTCAAAGATCCGCCATTGTTTAAACCGCGTGGCTTCCCGGGCTATCTTTGGGAGGCGTGGCTTCCTCCCATTCGCCATTTTGAACAAGCGGATTCCCGCTGCATTTTCCCTTGGGGGTGGGGCTACCACCCGGACTCCTTTTCCCTGCAAGCAAAGAAGGGATCCCTTTAGGTAAGGATCTGAGGTTCCTCAAGAAAATAAGGCAAGAGGAAGGAAGAGGGAAAAGGAAGAGATCCGTTTTGATCGTGGTCTGCTGCTACAGCCACAGACTGGGGGAGAGAGAGATATAAACTGCTCTTGTCTGGACTAGGTGAGGAGGTGAGGAGGAATATTTTTCCCTGACTGTTCCTATAGTGACCTTTAGTCACTGCCTTGCAGGATCTTCTGTCCAAAGAATCCTGTCTGTCCGGCCATTGTCTGTATAGGCAGAAGAGGGCACAGCCCCAAGCATCTGCATCTGATCTGCGTACCTCATTCCCCCACTCCAGGCATTACCTACTCGGGGTGTCTGGCACAATGGCAGACAATGTCTCGTATTCAGTCACACAGGTCCCTCAATTGTCCCCCCCACAGCAACAACAAAAACGCAGATCTTCTGAGACAGAGGTGGGGGGGAAGAAGAAAGCTAAAACAAAGCAGCTTTCTCAGAAGGGACAGTCTAAAACGGCTGAGCGAGAGGCTTTGAGGAGACATTTGGCTTTAGAAAGACAAATTAGCAGGGCACAGCGAACCAATGCCAATGGGACAGATTTGGTTTCCCCTGTCCCAGTGGTGGCGCCCAGCACAGAGCCTACTGCCGAGGAAGTGCTCAAGACTTGGTCTCCTCCTGGGGAAACTGAGCAGTTAGATTCCTCCAATCCCTCCTCACCAGCTTCTTCACCCGACCACACTCCAGCGCCTCACTCCAGCGACAAGGCGCAGGAGAACATATGGTCGGCACAATTTCATGCATTCATGCAGGATGCATTCTCCCAGTTCATGGCTTCTAAGGGGCAAGTGGCCTTTCACACACCCCGTAAGGGTCGGGCTAGGCCACCCCCTACCAGTACCTCTGAAACTTCCTCTCAACTGGGAGAGGGTGACTCAGTGGACCTTGACATGTCAGACATGCCCCTCTCGGAGGACGAGGAGACTGCACCTGAGCAGGCGACGAGCTCTGGCCTCTTTAACCCAGCGCTCCTAAAATCACTCCTGATAAAGGCAGTCTCCACAGTCAACCTAACATCAGTACAGGATGAGAAGCCCTCAACAAGCAAGGAGGCCAATCCTCTGTTTGCCAAAAAGGTTCCACAAGATAAGTACATTCCATGTGCGGAGGTCTTTATGACCACGCTGGAGGAACAATGGTCCTCACTTGCAAGCCCACCGACACCTAACAGCGCGGAAAGGAAGCTTTTCAACCTATCTCCCTCCTTCTCTAACATGTTAGAGGTTCCTGCTGTAGATAACCCCTTAATCTCATTATTTTCTACCTCCGCGATTCCAGGAGACATGGCGGAGGTCTTGAGACCTGAGGAGAAGAAATTTGAACACTCCCTCCGGCGTTCCCATATGGCTGCAGCCTGGGCGGCCAGAGCAGCCACCTCATCATCATTCTTCGCGAGGGCCAGTATCATGTGGCTGAGGGAACTGCAAGGCACGGTGCCTCCAGACCAGGTCAGAGTACACCAAACATTGGCCAAGCTCCTCGCGGCCTCGCAATTTGTCTCTGACACTTCACTGTACGCAACAAAGTATGCGGCTAGATCCATTGCGGCCACAGTGGCCTCACGTAGGCTACTATGGCTCAAAAACTGGAAGACAGACCTGAGGTCCAAATGGCGTCTTTCGACGTCCAAATACAGTGGAGTAGCCCTATTTGGCTCCATTCTGGACCCACATGTCAGCGAAGGCAGAGACAAGAAAAAAATCCTGGTACATCCATCAAAGAAGTTAGACAGGAGAGGCAGTCAGGACTTCCGGAGACAGGGCTCCCGCCCAGGAAGCCCCTGGGAATGGAGACAGCCCTTTCGATCAGGGCAATCCTGGGACTGGCCCAGAGGCTCACGATCCTTCTACCCCAGACAGGATCGAACCCAGGATCGCCAGAGCCCGGGAGCCAGGGGCCAGTTCCAGTCCAGACGCCCATACAGGGGAGCGGGAGGCAGATCCTTTAAGCGTACCAAGTGACGCCAAACAGGACACTCCCATTGGGGGTCGGTTAGGAAATTTCATCGAGGTCTGGGAGCAGACCACGACCGACGCCTGGGTCCTGGAAACGATCAGGCATGGCCTGACCTTAGACTTCTGTTCTCCCCCACCAAACCGGTTCATCAGATGTCCCATCTCCAGAAGAGCACACAAGACGAGGCTGATAACTTCGGCCATAGCCCACCTCCTGTCAATCCAGGCCATAGAGAGGGTACCAAAGGAGGAGGAGGGAAGAGGATTTTATTCTATCCTCTTCGTCATCCCAAAGACATCAGGAGGGTGGAGAGCAATCTTGGACCTGAAGGGCCTGAACTATTTCATAAAGTACAGGAGGTTCAAGATGCACTCCTTGAAATCCATCCTAGCCAGCGTCAGGGAAGACGATCTATTATCCTCAATAGATCTCACAGAGGCGTACCTACACATCCCCATTCATCCCAGTTACCAGAAATTCCTCAGATTTACCTACGCGGGTCGACATTACCAATACAGGGCATTACCCTTCGGACTATCATCAGCACCAAGGGTATTCACCAAGATCCTAGCTGTAATAGCGGCCCATCTCAGGTTGATCCCGGTTCGCGTTCAGTTTTATCTGGACGACATCTTGATTCAATCCAGATCTCGGGAGCAAGCAAGGGCAGATCTCGAGACCACGATCCGAACCCTACAGGGGCACGGATTCTCGGTCAATCTAAACAAGAGCCACCTCACTCCCTCAAGGAGACTGCAACACCTGGGCGCGGTGATAGACACGTCACAGTGCAGGGTATACCTTTCCCAGGAGCGACTGATCAGCATATCCAAGCTAATTCACCAAATTCAAAAGATCAGGAGAGTGCCCTTGCTACAACTCTCGAAGCTCCTGGGGAAGATGATATCTTGCATGGGCATCATCCCATGGGCAAGGCTCCACTCGAGGGAGTTGCAGTGGTTCCTCCTACCCTACCAGAGGAGGAACCTCAGCACCTCCAGCAAGAGGGTGCTGGTACCAGCACAGGTGATGAAATCACTAAAATGGTGGCTATCCCCCACGACACTCAAGGGGAGCATATTCAGGGAACCAAACAGGGTCACACTCACGACAGATGCGAGCCTGTTCGGATGGGGGGCCCACCTGGGAACCCAGATAGCACAGGGCCAGTGGGGACAGAAGGACCTGTCACACAGCATCAACTGGCTAGAGCTCCGGGCCATACACCTGGCCCTCCGTCATTTCTCTCACCTAGTAACGAG